GAATCAAGGGAGAGACCTAACAAACTCTACTCATGTGATGCTGAGTCTAGGAATCAAACCCAATTTAGACCCAGGAGAAAAACCCTCGAATCAAGGGAGAAACCTAACAAACTCTACTCACATGTGATGCCGAGTCCAGGAATCAAACCCAATTTAGACCCAGGAGAAAAACCCTTGAATCAAGGGAGAGACCTAACAAACTCTACTCACTTGTGATGCTGAGTCCAGGAATCAAACCCAATTTAGACCCAGGAGAAAAACCCTTGAATCAAGGGAGAGACCTAACAAACTCTACTCACATGTGATGCTGAATCCAGGAATCAAACCCAATTTAGACCCAGGAGAAAAACCCTTGAATCAAGGGAGAAACCTAACAAACTCTACTCACAATATATGACACTGCTCCATTTTACATTTCCATTCAGTGACCACAAATAATAGTTCCAAGTCAAGGCTAGAGTTTCCGTGCATAGCAAAACTATACTTTTTATCATGTGCAGCAACTCCAACCTCGGCTTGGAACTATTACTCCTGGTCACTAAACGAAACTGTAAAATGGAATATTCCAGGAATCAAACCAGACACACATAAATGAAAAGGTGTGTCACTCGGCAAATACTCACTTTTGCTAATGGAAAACCCATTTTGATGCCTCAGGGAAAACCCAATCAGATAACCAGTCAAGCCCCCTCCCCCTTAGATCTGTTGTTAACTGTTGTTCTCATTGATTTTTATCTTTATCTTTTGAAGGTCAAAAATTGGGTTAAAGAGCTCAAGAAAATGTTAGGAGATGATATTAGTTTATGCATAGCAGGTAAAGTATGTTAAACAATATATACATGAAAGTGCGAAATCATTGTCTGGTTTAAAACATAGACATTGTATAAGCTGAGACCAAAAGATATGGGAAATGACATAATTATCTCAAATAGTTCCTTGTTGGTTGTTGTTACATTCATAATAATTTGTCTTATCAACCATAGATTTAATAAATATGTTATGAGCTTTCGGCCTACTCGACCATCCTCAGGGAAATGAAAAACGTTACAATTGATCGCGTTTTTCTTTGTCAATCGTAATGTTTTTCATTTCCCTGAGGATGGCCGAGTAGGCCGAAAGCTCATAACATATTTATTAAATCTATGGTTGATAAGACAAATTATTATGACATTATTATCCTCTGATGTATTCATTTGAGATAGGTAGACAAAACCTTGTAATGATATTACACATCCTAATATTACTCTTAAAGGAAATAAGATTGACCTGGAAAAAGACAGACATGTTGAAGCATCAGATGCTGAAGCGTGAGTATTAATTTTAAAATTTAGCTATATGTGTGCATGACTTGCAACATACCTTAAAATCAAGAAAATTAAAAGAARAAAAAAATGAAAGGGAGATAGACAGTAAGAGATGGAGTGCATGAGTGAGTGAGCAAAGGAGCAAGGGAAATGGGAGCAGATCAGAAAAGAAGATGGAGAGAAGAAATGTGAGGGACAGAGATTATGACAATATTATTGCCATTATACTACTTGTTTTAACTGTCACTATTCCTGATTGATTTGGACTTAAACATAATTTTTTATTGAATTGACAGATATGCGAGGACAGTAGGAGCTAGACATTTTCACACGTCTGCAAAACTAAACAAAGGAATAGAAGAAATGTTTTTTGAATTAACAAAACGTGAGTACTGCAAATATCCATTTTATATTTCCTGACTCTTGTCCCCATCATGAAGTCATGAAGGGCACGACCCCAGGGCTTTCAGGATAAGTCGGCAGCTGCGGGAGCTCCAGTGATTGCTTCGAAGTTAACCGCCTGCTACCTTCCCTTCCTTGTATCAGATCACAGCCAGCTACTTCAGAATTATGGCCACCTAAATTATTTTTAAGTACTATATTTCCTATTCTATTTATTTTAGAAATGGTTGAACAGCAAGAAAAGCTAGATGCAAGAGCTTCAACTGCTGCATCGACAGACAAAGCAAGCAGTGGTAGGCGAAAGAATGTCGTTATTGTAGATGAACCTCAAAACAAGAGTGGTGGTGGTTGCTGTAGTAATAGCTCATAAATAGATAAATATAATAACTTTTACCTTACGCAGCTAAGGAACATGATAGTGAACATTGTCTCTTAATTTTAAGGTTTAAGTGAACTGTTGAAAATATTGTCATGGCAACTGTGGTGAAATATCATTTTTCTCTGAACCTTTTTGGTATGCACCTGAGTATTCACTTCATTAATGAACACTTTTAAAAATTAAAAAAAAAATTAATATTATTTTTGTTGTATTTTCGAAATTTAAGATTCCTGACAATCTTTTTGGCAGCGATTCAATGAATATTGGTTCATAAGGGTTCAACTTCTAGCCCTGTTGCACTTAAAATATAAGATAATGCTTGAAGGGAAAGTAGGATAGAATTAGTAAATAAAGGACACTCTTTTACTGTGCAATTGAATCCAGTTTAACAAAAAGAAAGGATTTTGGCATCAGTTTGCCTAGACCTCAGGCTTTTGTGTTCCCAGCTAGCAGAGTCTCTCTTCTCTTTCTCTACCTTCTTTCAGGCTGCTAGCAGAGTCTCTCTTCTCTTTCTCTCCTTTCTTTCAGGGGTAACCAGTCATTTCGCCCACGGACCATTTCGCCCACGCCAATTCGCCCACGCATAAAATCATCGATC